CTAAAACATATCACCAGAATGTTCAAGAGAAGTTGTCTGAGCTCGAGGCTGAGGCTGCATGTGATACTTCTGCTGTTTCTGATGGTGCTTCACGACCACGAGAGCTAACAACCGAAGAATATACATCCATCTTCCTTAAGGTTATGATTCATTTTTTCCCAAAACACTCTCTCTATATTCTATGATTCTCTTTTGTATCATGCTCTAATCTCTGGCTTTCCCTGACTTTGCAGTCTACTGATAGGGATTCAAGAGGAAATTTTTATGGAGTTGGAAACCTCAAAGACTGTCTGGTCAATGGCAAGCGCAAGCAACCCGATTCATCTTCTTCTTTTGTGTCTCTGCAAGAACAATTGAAGGAAGCTCAACGCAAGATAGAAGAGCAGGCAGCGCGTGAGGCTGAGCAATCTCGGGCTGTGGCTGAGCAGAGGGACAGGCTCGAGCAGTTGTCTCTAGTGGAGAAGTATCTACGTCAAACAGATCCGCACTTCCTCGACTTCATGGCAAGTCAGTCTGCTAAAGAGCCAACCTCAGACCCTCTCTCAACAACTCTTCCCCTTGATGATACAACTACAACTCCATCTCCATATGCTGCTTTATAGGTTGAGATGTCTTAACTCTTTTCTGAACTTAAACTCTACGCCTCTCTTTTCAGAACTTAAACTCTATGCCTCTCTTTTCTGAACTTAAACTCTATGTAGCTCTATGTTTCTGACTTTCTGTAGCTCTATGGAACAAAAACTTAATGTTGTTTTGGTTGGGTTTGAATGATTTTAGTTTCAGCTTAATTGTGGTTTTGTTAATATTTTTGGATTTGGTTTCATTGATTATTAGCCTGTAGTCGTATAATAGCAACTACAAACGTACCATATTTTAAATCGGAAAGAACTGTAGTCACCAAATTAGTCGTATATATGGTCACCATATTGTCACGGATTAGTCGCCATTTTTAACGACTACACACTGACTAAAAATAAGAGCTACAAACATAGTCGCTAATTAGACATCAAAGAGTCATTAACAATTTGGCGACTACGAAGTGACTATGATTTATAGCTACAATATTAGTCACTCATTAGTCGTTAAATAGACGCAAAAGATTTGGCGACTATTTAATGTCTGTCTTTAGAAGACCATACGATCAACTGAGTTAATCGTAATTTAGTCGTAACTTAGTCATCTATTATTACGACTATTTGACGTCTACCTTACGACTAACTTCTCGTTGGCTACAATAGTCGTAAATTAGTCGCCTTTTAGCGACTACAATTGCGACTACCTATTTTAGCGACTAGCTATTTACAACTACAGGATTTAGTCGCCAAATAGTCGTTAAAGGCAATTTACCGACTATTTGGCGACTAATATGGTAGTCGTTATCTGCCTGTTTTCTTGTAGTGACTCCCCTATAATCATGCTCTAAATAATTTTGAATATATAACCCTAATTTCCACAAGCTAGAAAAAAAGAGAGAGTATAATACACATTTATGGATCTGCTACTAGTTTTGAATATTGTTCATCTTAATTTGAGAGGGTCGGAAATTCAAGGGGATATTAATTCATTTTCACCAAATTATGATCCGAAATCCTATATTTTTCTATTTATCTACAGAGATTTCATATAATTAAAAACCTTCTATCTTTTTTCTTTACATTAATTATTTCATCAAACATATGAAAAATTAAGTATCAATATATGGTAAACTAACATACTTATCTAAAATATGTGTATATCGATCTCGTAGTAATAAAGACTCAACTCTAAATGGGAAAAATTGTTTGATAAATTTACAAAAAAATGGAATATAAATTGAAGTGAAAAGTTTGATAATGATTCTCAATTCTCATCATAATGGATATGAAGCAATTGCTTCAACTTCAAGTCCAAATTTGATCTCTCTGGTAGAAAAGATTACGATCGACAATGGAGTCTTCGACGGTGTCCGAGTCACAAGTGTTTATGTTTTATACCATTATCTTAATCATTATGATGTTACTTGGCATCTTACGATATATTTACGAGCGTAATCCACCTTCTACGGAACTAGGTCTTGAGACTTACCGAAACCAACTTTCACAGCCTACGCCTCAACAATACATTGAAACCGGACATCTAACGCCAACACATCCTCAACAAGACATCAAAACCGGATATATGATGCAGATCGAGAAAATAGAGTTTAAAGGTATTGAAGAAGAAGGATTTGATGAGATTTGTTGTTCAGTTTGTCTTGAAGAGTTTGAAGATGGCCATGATATTATCCGTATAAAGATTTGTAGACATGTTTTTCATCGTCTTTGTATTGATTCTTGGCTGAAACAGAATCAAAGCTGCCCGAATTGTCGATGTTTCTGAGTAGAGTTTATTTTTCTATCCCCTTAAATCGATTTATTTCGTAATTGTAGGTTTCTGAATTTAACTTTAGCAAACTATTGAATCAATAATTTTTATTTATTTAGAAGTTAAACTATTGTATGTATATAAATTGCATGTACCTACAAGTTAACGTATGTTTTACAACAAAACAAGTAAAAGAGACAAAATTTTGGTTTGGTTTCCCATGTCCATTATTCAGACAAATATCTATATTCGTTTTGCATACACATGTTTCATTATAGATTATCCAAGAAAGTCTTTTTGTTGATGCTCTCGTGTATGGCATTTCTGTTCAACTACAATAATGGTGGCTCTGTAGACGCATCAACAAACGTTGGTTTGAACTACTTCCTCCTCGGAGACAACCTCCCACCTCCGTCTGAAGTTATGAACCTCTACACAAGTCTTTAAGTATTGCCAACATTCAGATATTTGACACGAATACGAATGTTCTTAACGCCTATTGGAGTTATGGTAGGCCTGAAGAACCTAGAATTAGAGGCTCTTTCGGTCAGTGAAGACACGTTGTTAAGACCATCTCCATTGTTCTTTTTTTTTTTTTTTTTGTCATCCGAAATTAATTAGAGCTCAAAAGAGTCAATGTTGTTTATAAATGTGATATGAAGCGGTTCCATTGTTCTCATACCCAAAAAGAGTGTCTAAAGAAAAATATATTAATATTTTATTATAATTTAATTTTGTAATTAATTGTTTTTCTGTTATTTTAGATTATACCAATTAAAAACTGACACATATGCATATGAGTGTCTCAGAGTTTCTGCACACTCTTAAAAGTTGTACCGATGGAGATGCTAACACCTGGTTCGTGACAAACATTGAGCATTACTTAGCTGACGTCAATATCACTATCATCACTGTTGGGAATGAAATCATCCCCGGAGAAGTCGGTTCTTACGTGCTACGCTTTAAAGAGTCATATCCCCATATAGCATTATTGGCCATATCCATTCATAAATTTTTAGTGTTTAACTTTAACAGATGACGAAACCCTTATCCAGGATTTAAATGTGTTTCAGGTTTCGAGTTGGGCTTAGAATTAATTTCACATAAGTATTTGGAAGTTGGAACTACTAATCTGCATCAGAATTGGGCTTTGATGTTTTGCCCAGCTCCTACGTTTTAAACTGGCAGGAAATCATTTAGTGTAACAGCTATTATTTTATTTTAATTTTCCAAACGTAATATGATAACATACAGTATATAACTGTACTTTACTTTAATATTTTAAGTAACTTAATTGTTGTAATTGCATTTAAGTAACTTGATTTTTTTATTTGTTCTATATATACAAATGATTCTTTTGTTTAAAGATATACATATAAAATATAGAACATTCTCCTTTTCACATTTTATCTTATATTAATGATTTTGAATTGGTTTATTTTATACTTTCACAACATTATTATCAGTATGTTTTAATCCTTTTTAAGTTTTTCAAAAAAGTAGTATTATGATAATCTCAAAGTTTTATGAGCGCAATAGTAAGTTATAAAGATTTATAATACCACTTTTTAAAAAAGAAAACTCAAAGGGTTAGAAAGTTGTGCTGATAAGTTGTGAAATTATTAGATAACCAAATCAAAATCATTGATTTCATATAAGAACGTGAGAAGGAGAATGTTTTATTACTTATATTTTGAAGAATTACTGATATATAAAAGATAGGATGAAAACATAGAATCATGACTGTTTGCAGCCTTCCAAGCTTTCTATGTAGGTATTTTCTAATTTTCAACTCCTGCCTAAGCATTATGTTGATTATTATTACTCTTTTGCTGGGCTCAGGGCCGGCTCTATGGATGTGCCCACAGTGCCAAAGCACAGGGTCCCATCATTTTTTATTATTTTAAAAGCATTTTAGGGTCCTAATTTTTTAAAAATTTTATAAAAAAGGGCCTAAAATTTTCAAATTTCTTAAATATAGAACAAAAGGAACAAAATTTTGTGTTTATTTTTTACTTTGGCACATGGACTAAATTATTTTTGAGTCGGGCCTGGCTGGGTTCGTATACTTATTTTATTGATTTGTAGAGAAATTAAAGATCGAATGCTATAATTGTCTTTAAGACCATCATGATTCGTTATTATGCTGCCGTAGGGTGTTTAAGCTTTGGTAGACAAAATCAAAAATTTTGACTAATTAATGGACAGTTATCTAGAGTTTGGTTTCTTTATTCTTATCCAAGATTAATGAAATTACAAAAAGTAATTGGGAGATAAAGAAAAAAATATCAACAACTTTAGTTAATTAGTATACATTGTTAAACTTTATATTATTTTTCAAAATATAAACTTGAAAGTTTATTCATTTAACAAAGGGGTTTCATTTTATATTTTTGACAGCAACAAAGGGGTTTCATTAACATGTAAAAACTTGAGATTTTTTTAAAAAGTTTTGTAACAAACAAACAAAACAAGGAAGTGACAATCTGTAATAAATTATTTAGTAGTATTAAAAAACCGTTATGATTAATAACTTTAAAAAAAAAAAAAATGAAGAAAAAAGGCGTGAGATTGATTTTACAGGTCAGGCAAAGCTTTCGTACAACTGACACTCCTCAAAAACTTCCAAGAAAGCATCAGATCCATTTTCCGCAATCATCTCTCAATTTTCTAAAATAAAGCAGATTAAAGAGAGATTATAGACAAAAAAGATATACTAGCTCCTCGTGAAGCAGCAGTGAAGAAAGGAAAGTGAATCGCCATGGATGATCGCCTTCGCTTAAGCCGCAGAATCCGCTTTCGTCTTCTTGCTTGGCTCCGTCGTTCTCGCTCCGGTAATCCACTATTTCGTCGGAATCTCCCTTCATTTTTATGATTATCTTCTGTTTTCAGATCTGATTTCCACTATTCTCGACTGGATTTTGACTTTCTTAGTTCTTGATACTCTTTTTATCTCAGATCAATCTCTTTTCGATCTTCTAGTTCATAGACGTACTATGGTTTGGTATGTTCTAGGGTTCTAGTGGTTTTAGTAGAGAGTAGAGTTGATGTTGTTCAATGCTTTGGAACAAACTATGATTTGGTTATACTCTGTTCTAATCTCGTGGAGATTTCAATTGGTTCCATACAATTGGCTGTTTCTTAGTTTTATGAATCATCTGAGTGACTTGGTTTGAATTCTGTATGACTCTGAAGAACTTAAGGTTGATGAACTCTATTGTTAAGCTTTACTTGGTTAGTTTGGTCGATTTTGAGTAGAATTTGACTTAAATCTTCTCCTTGTATCCAAATTCTGGAGTAATTTCAATTGTGATATCATCACAGGAAGAATAGAATTTATCAGACGATTTGGATACAAGGAAATAATCAAAGCAACACAAGGTTTCCGTAAGGTTATTTACACCAACTATCACGGGTCTGCATACAGAGCTAAATTCAAAGGTGGTGAGGTAGCTTTGGTCAAAGAACTGACTGCTCTTGATCTTGGACGAGAAAGGTTTGATGAGGAAGTTCAGCTTTTGGGTCGCTTACGTCACCGTCATCTCCTTACACTTCGCGGGTTTTGCATTGGACGAAAGAGGTTTCCTTTTTGAAGTCTTGAAACTTTAAAGAAAAAAAGATTTTTTTGTTTGTTTGCTTATGATTTCTTCTTCTTGCTTTTTCAGGCTGCTAGTGTTTGACAACATTGAAAATGGAAGCTTGAAAGAACACCTCAATGGTAAAAACCCTCAACACATAATCATCACAACAAAATCCTTTTATTGAACCTTTGTCTCATTCTCGATAGATCCTCTTAAGACCCCTTTGAATTGGAAGACTCGCATTCAGATAGCCATTGGAATCGCAGCTGCATTAGTAAGTTGTTTTACTGAATCATGGACAGTAATATGAGTACTCTTGCTTATTCAACAACCTGATTATACTATTAAAGGGACTCAAAAGAAGATTGTGATCCGCTCTTTGACTGCAGGAATACTTGCTAATCTTCAGCAGTAATGATGCACATATATATGATGTTTCAGTGAACTCATGTAACATCATGTTGGATGAAAACTTCACCCCCAAAGTAAGTTCGAAGATACAAAGTTCGGTGCAGACAAACCAATTATATCAATGACTGAAATCTTCCTATCACAGATTTCAGATATCCGCGTCAACAGACATCCAAAAAACCATCCCAAAGCAACCCATGATTCTTGCTCTGAAGGTAAAACTGAATTTTCTTGTTTCCAAGATCAATGGTATTCTGCTTTATTCACGGTTTGAGAAATTGGTATGTAGGATCATGTGCGGATGAGGAATGTGGAAACGTGATATTTCAACTAGGAGTGTTGATGTTGGAGCTGATCACAGGACAGTCATCAGACAGACAAGGGAAAGACTTGATCGAATGGGTACAAGACTCTTGTATTGCAAATTCCATTGATAAGATGATTGATCCAGATTTAGGTAACAACTATAGCTCTAGAGAACTCCAGAAAGTCTTAGCCGTGGCTCGACTCTGCATAAAAACGAGGTATGAGCCTCCTTCATTCTCAATTACACATGTATACCGGTATCTACAGAAGAAGATCGATGTTGCAACATAAATACTAGTTTTTGTTTGTGAATTGAATTGGGTTTGATGGTTGAAATTGAGATGACATGTGGTTCATCATCCGTATTAAGTCTTCTGCCTATTTTCACACCATTCTAGATGTAATGTAATAAACAGCTAATAGAGTGTAGCATTGTACTTGTCTTGATATAACTTTTGATATTCTTACCTTATTTGAAACACAATTCTTTTACCAAGTACTGGTGAGTGTCAATCCACGAGAATCTCTAATTCTCTAAGCTCCAATCTAAATTGTTGCTAGTAGATATTGGTATTGTCAGAACCAAATCCTTTGTACAATTCGCATCTATTTTGAAAATAACCTAAACGTAATCCCCAACTTATAAGTTTGGTAGAATTTTGAGACATCAAATAGATGGTGGAACAGGACAAAATCTCAAGAACTACAAGTTTATTTCTCAAACCAAAAAAAATGGTAATAAGGATTTTGAATTAGGACGAGGTTCTTCCCACTGAATTGGCAAAGTCTATAAAAAGACCCAAAAATAATACAACGAAAAAGAGAAAAGAAGAAGCAAATGTTGGAGATCACTAAGATGCGCATGTGGATCACTGCTGGGCACATTGCACACGCTGAGCACCGCCTGGGTGTTCATCCTCATCGTCATCATAAGCCTCTCTTTGAGCTTGCGCCTTCCTTTTCATCTCATCCTCAATGTTCACATCATGCAGAGTCGTCTCTTCGCAATCGTCTATTTCCATATCACTTATAGCTGCCTTGGTCGGCTTTGGCAAAACTGCTTCAATGGCCTTTGTCTGATCCGGGCTCAGCGATTCCGGGAACTCAACAGTGAAGTGGATGTATAGCTTACCCTTCATGAACGGCCTTTGGTATATTGGCATTCCCTCATCACTTATCGCCTTGTATGAATCTATCAGCAACAAAATAGACACCACGGTAAGACATAGAAAAGTTGGAATATATAATACAGAAAGGGTTTATGACTGGGCCAAGTAAAATACGTACCAGGTTTGACCACCTCTCCGGGATTGGATTTGATGAGAAGCTGCCTTTTGTCCAAATGGGTCAAAACGAACTGGAAGCCACACAAGGCCTCGGTTAGAGAAAGGGTGTGCTCCACAAAGAGATCATCCCCCTTTCTTTTGAACTTTGGGTGCTCCTTCTGCTGAATGACGAACACTATATCTCCGGTAACAGTATCAGGCTGTTTCCAAATGAAAAAGGCAGGAAAATGTCAATAGACGAAATATATAATGATCAAAGCCAGGAAAAATAGAGTATCACATACCGCTTCATCTGCTTGTCCATTGAATGTGATCTTCTGATTGTGTTGCATTCCCTTCTCCACATTTACTTCAAGCACCTTCTTCTCGGAGACAACCTTCTCTGCTTTGCATTGTGGACACCTGTCCCGATCATTGATGGTCTCTCCTGTGCCCTTGCAATCATTACAAGCATGCTGCATCTGCTGAATCATTCCAGGTCCAACCTGCCTGATCGAGACCTTCATTCCCGTACCTTGACAGCCACCACATTTCATTGAAGCTCCAGACTTTGAACCCTTGCTGCAATCATAAAGCAAATAATGTCAGTGAAGAATGAAGATTTGAAAGACAGGAGCAAAGCATATATCAGAAAAAGAAACTTTGCATGGTTATTAATCAATATACACATGGTCAGAAACAGCAAAAACTTGGTAACAACACAAAGCAATACCACAACTGTGAAAGGATAAAGTCATAAATACTAACCCGTTACACTTTGAGCACAAAACCTTCCTAGAAAGTGAAAGCTTCTTTGTAGTTCCGAGATAAACATCCTCTAAGGAAACCTTCAGGGGATGAACAACATCTTCACCACGCCTCTGCCTCCTTCCCCTGCTGCTACCACCTATTCAGAAACAAAAACAAACCAGGGTTCTTCTCTTTATCATCTCCTCAAAGACAACATCGATTGTAATATGATAAAATTCATGGGCACTGTTCGAGAAACTAACCTCCGAATGGGTTTCCACCACCACCAAAGAAGGACGAGAAGATATCAAATGGGTCATGCCCACCGCCTCCACCACCCATTCCCTCCTTAAGTGCATCTTCCCCATATTGATCATAGATCTCACGCTTCTCAGGATCACTAAGAACTTCATAAGCCTGAGCTAGCTCTTTAAACTGCAAATACATGTATTAAACTGTTAAATATTTTGATCAAGTCTACAGGTAAACCATATACTCAAATTCATAATCTACAAAGCAATAAATTCTACTGTCTCAAAGTTCCAAAAGAAGAAATTTGGCATCTGAATATTTATAATCCCAACAACAACTAACAAACAATCTAACATAGATCAAATTTAAGTATCACAAGACATGAACAAACCATCAAGTGAAATCTATTAGCATGTACAAAGGAATCTATAAAGCCAACAAATTTCGTCAATAGTTGACCTAAAACTCGCAGATTTCAGATCGAATCGAACATCCAGAATACTAATACGAAGATCTAAGCCTCCATCGATCGGAAAATTCAAATCAAACTACCAAAAAAAAAACTAGATTTCGAAACAGAAACCAATTGAATTACACAGAATCTACGCAATAAGGAAAAAAGAGAATCGAAAAGAGAAACCTTTTCAGGATCTCCACCCTTATCAGGATGGTTTTTGATAGCGGCTTTCTTATAAGCTTTCTTGAGATCTTCGGGTGATGCGGTCTTAGGAACACCAAGGATCTCGTAGAACTTGGTGTTATCGCTCTTCCTCGAAGGTCCTCTTCCAAACATGTTTCCTCTGTTCTTACGAAAACCCTAAAAAAATAAAAAAGTCCTCGACGAGAAGGAGATTGTTGTTGTGGCTGCTACTTGTTGGTTTCGAAGACTTTGCTTCTGTTCAAGGTCTTGTGGAGCGGAACACTCTAGAACTTTTTATATCTTTTCTTTTTTTTTGCTTTTCCTTTTCACAATTTGTTTTTTTTATTCATTTCTTCTTTTATGAGAAAGAAATAGGAAATTTCTTCTATAAGAGACCAAAAATATGGAAATTTTTAATTTAAAATCAGAGAAAAAGGAGATTACTTAGAAATTTACATTAAGAAGTTCATATACTCCTCTATTATTATATGACATATAACATATTAAGGTCTCCTTTTTAGAAAATAAAAATATCAAGGTTTTTTTTATCTACCACAATCCAAATATAATTAATTTACAATAATTTTTCAACTTTTACTTAAAACTTTAGAGTATTATATCAAAATATATAATCTAACTGCAAACAACAAAAAATTATAGACAAACATATAATCCGACTTAAAGTTATTTATAATTTAGTGAATGCGATTTAGCCAACCCGACTGAACATTTTTGTCAAGTTCAAGTGATCTAAATAATTTCATAAATGCATGAGTTGAGAGTAATGCCATATCTCAAAACAAAATGATGATTACACAAATCATTAATCATGGGCCTGAGTAAGATATTAACCCGTTTACCAAAAGTGCTTCAAACATTCACATGGGATCCTTATTCATTCTCCTTTACTAAAGTGCGTCATGTGATGTCGCGTACGATATGTACGAACAATGTTGATAATAGCTAATACAACTTTGGAAGTACGTATTAAAAAGACAACAACAAGCATGAGCTCATGCAGTCATGCTTAGACTTGTCCTCGAACTTCCCTAGGTTCATGGATCCAACCTTAATTTGATTTGGTTTCGACTATGTGCCATGTAATATGTTTTTGTTGACTTAAAATAAATGTATGTACTGCTTTGGTACCAATACCATATCTATATCGATTATCTAGCTCTTTTTTATATTTGTATCATGGGGCTTATAAAATGATTACCTTATGGTTGTATATTTACATTACTGACACATTCAAGAAGAACAAAATTATACTAAAAAGGGTATTTGCTCCAATGTTATTATGTCTTTTATGCATTATGAGTTTTAGAAATTAGAGTTAACCAAATCACATCATACTATAAAGAAAAAAACTCACATTCGTTTCATTAAAAACTCAACCATAGTTTCTCTGTCGTTAAGAGCGAGTATAAAGTATATGCTTAAATCTAATCTAATACGTGTCCTTAAAAAGAAATAAAACATCATCCCAGCAAAATAGTGCATTACCAGTTACCAAATCAGTTGGACCTACCGAATTAGATACAACATTCAATGTCTAATTTATTACAAAAATACTCAACAAAAAAAAAAAACATAAAAGAATAAAAAATAGCACTCATATATCATTATCGACCGACGTATCATCGCTGTTATCAACGACGGTAAAACACAGCGCAACGCCGTTAACTCATCGATCCGATAAACAAACAGTTACAATAAACTTGACGACGTCAGGTATAACGCTTGTCGGTTTGTAAATTGACGTAAATACCCCTACGGCCAAGTTGCGCATTCCAATCACAGATTGATGAATCTCTCTCTCTCGTCATCTTTAATCTCTCATCATCACTGACTGTGAGAGACCCTTTTTGTTTTTTACAATCTGAGATCTTTTCTAAAATCTCATTAAATTCCCCATAAAGTTTCAATCTTTGCTGATTTTCCCCCAAATTTTCTGGAGATAACCTTCGTTTTTTAGAGCGTTTCTTTCTAAATTTCTTTCATCGATTTCGTCCAAGTCTTTGAGAGAGGTTCGACGGATTATCGTCGGAAAAGCTATGAGAATCTGTTGAAGTTCTTCGTTTCTCATAGCTCCAGTAATGTGAAATCCCTAATTTCACCGAATTGAGAAAACGCTTTATCTTCAGAATCTGCCAATTCATGGGAGATTCACGCACATTCCGGTAGATTTTCCAGTTTCTGGGGAAGTCAAAATTTCTAGGGTTTTCGATTTTGTTTTCTTCCAAATGTTCTCGAATCAGTTTGTTCTCTTCTTCTCTCTTCTTCTATGTCTCCCATTCGTCTTCTTCTTTGTAGCGCCTCATGTTTTCCCTTCTCCTCCTGGTGAATCTTTGATCCCAATCTCCGATGAGATTGATGACCGGAGTTTATTCATCGCCGCTGCTGGGTCAACCTCTCTTTCCCATCTTTCATCTGGAAACCCTAACCCTAAGCTCAAGATTGCTTTTTTATTCCTCACCAACTCCGATCTCCATTTCGCGCCAATCTGGGATCGGTTCTTCTCTGGACATTCTAAATCGCTCTACAACGTCTATGTCCACGCAGATCCTTTTGTCAATGTCACAAGACCTGGGAATGGCTCTGTGTTTGAGAATGCCTTCATTGCAAACGCTAAACGCACCGCAAGAGCTTCTCCGACTCTTATCTCCGCCACGCGGCGCCTCCTCGCCACCGCTTTCCTCGACGACCCTGCGAACACTTACTTCGCTGTGCTGTCTCAGTATTGCATTCCTCTCCACTCGTTCAACTATGTTTATAGCTCTCTCTTTGAATCCTCCACTTTTGATAAATCTGATCCGGATCCAACTCCGAATCCGAGAGGTATTCGAATCTTGTATCGGAGTTTTATGGAACTGATATCCGATGAGCCGAGGCTGTGGAAACGGTACACTGCTAGGGGAAGGTATGCTATGATGCCTGAGGTTCCGTTTGAGAAATTCCGAGTTGGTTCACAGTTCTTTGTTATGACCAGAAGACATGCTTTGCTAACTATCAAAGATCGGATCTTGTGGCGTAAATTCAAGCTCCCGTGTTATCGTCCTGATGAGTGTTACCCGGAGGAGCATTATTTCCCGACGCTGTTGAACATGAAGGATCCAGATGGGTGCACTGGTTATACCCTGACCCGGGTCAACTGGACTGGCACTGTGAAAGGACATCCTTACACCTACAAACCAAAGGAAGTCGTGCCCGAGTTGATCCAGAGACTCCGGCAATCAAATCACTCTAGCTCCTACTTTTTCGCCCGTAAATTTACTCCAGCTTGCCTGAAGCCGCTGTTGGCCATTGCAGATTCTGTGATTTTCAGAGATTAAGTTATGCAGGTAAGTTTATCCAAAGCCTGTACCTTCTTACTTACTTTCATTGTTGATTACTATGCATCCGGGGCCATTGTGGTGGGTCTATGTGATTTATGCTAGGAACTAAACTGTAGATTGATAGTTGTAATGTTAGGGCTTGTTTTGATCTAAAACCATCAAATATGAAAAATGTTTTATAAGTAGAACATTGGCTAAGGTGGTTACACAATACTTGGATTTTTTAGATTAATCATCAAACTCTGGTTTAAAAGTGTTTTTAAGACTGATCATGAATCATAAGAATCAACTTGGATTATACAAACCTGCCAAGAAAAGGATACTGTGCTCTTTTCAGCTTGCATTGCTCTGTTATATTGTTTGTTGAAGAAGACGTGGTGAATCCAATTTAGTAATTTTGATCAAACAATCAATCCCTAACATTACAACTATTTACCAATCTATAGTTTAGCATAAATCCTCCACGCTCTGATTTTAAGCAAATTTGGGTTATAGTGGAAAGAGGATTATGAGCATAGGTTGTTCAAAATCAGTCATCACATTCTCTGATATAGTGATATCTCTATGGAATTCTTATGAAAGGCATGTATCATTATTAAGGTATAGGTCTACATTTGCTAGACTGATTATAAATCATAAGAACCAATATGGATTATACAAATGTGACATGAGTGTATCATGCTCTGCTCTTATCTGTTTCATTGCTCTGTCATGCATCTGTGTAGAAGACGTGTGGAACTGCATTTCGTTGCCACTTGTTTGGGATCTTTAACAAAACTGAACAGGTGCTCAATTTCGTTTTGCTTTTGGGTATATGTCTTTCCAGGGTGAGAAAACAAAAGTTTTGGTGAGCAGAGGAGGTTTTATGTATGGTTTGAAGAACAAATGCCACTTTCAGGATTAAGAAGGGGCAAATCGAAACGATGTTAGGAGGCTTTGAGGCTTGAAATAAATAAACCAGCTTTAGTGGTACTCGGAGCTCAGGCTTGTTAGCTGTTGTGACATATATATATCACACGACACGAGAAGACAGATTAAGAGACACAGAAATCGAAGTTGTAATGTTTTTTTTGTTTTTCTTTTTGTTCTTTGGAGCTGGTGCTGTTACATAGCAGAGCTCTTTCCACCTCAAAAGGCTTGGGGTCTGTAGCATTATAATTGTGTCAAGGAAATCTATGAAGAGAATATGTTTATTTTCTTGATCTCTTGTGGTGAACACCACATTGAATATATAAAAGATCCAAGTTCATTTTTTAAATCTAAAGGCTAACGACATCATCTGGACTGAGACGCAATACAAAGTTAAGGTCATGAGCGTGTGAGAAGTGAGATATCTCTTCCCTGTTTCTAATGTATTTGGAAAGACAAATGAAGTTGGTGATGTACAAAGAGAAACACAGACACAAGAAGAGAGAGTCTGAGATTATCCTCTAGAAGACCAATCTATAAATGTCAATAACAGCAAAAACAAAATAAGGTAGAGATCAGCCTTTCTTGACCGGCCTTTGGACATACGATTTGTTTGGATCCTCTGTCTTCAATTTTGGAGGACGCGTCTCTCCTTTTTTGGCCTGATGAGTGATAACAGATGCTTAGATTGAATTCTCACCCAAATGAAAAAAAGTAATTCACCAATGCATGCATTTTCCTAACTAACGATGTGTCTCTTACCTTCTTTCCTGATTTCTGAAAGTCTCTCCAGCTTGATACCTGCACATGGAAACCCAAACTTAAATGAAAACCAATTGCATATACAATCTTATGATAAATGAGTAGAGGGTGGAACCAGCACTCACTCCTTCGAGTCCCAAAACAAGTGTCAAAAAGTATTTCATTATAAGAACTGATACAAATGGTTCAAACTATTTCAGATGAGTTCTCTTTTCAAAAGGTGAGCTAAAATGGTATATGCAGGTAGAGAATTAGAATCATGGGCAAACAAACAAACAGATCTCAGACGAGTTTTCTTCTCTAAAGCCATTTCTAAGCATAAATATGGATCAAAGGGTCAGCTGAATGTTCTAAACTAAGGCATTCATAGGCAGGTAATGAATAATGAATTAGGATAACCAGTTAGCATAAGAACAAACCCTTTTTTCTCTTGTCCCTTCCCACTGTTCTTCATGCTCACGCTTTTTCTTCCATATCTCCTTTTGTTCTGCTTCATCCTTCTTCAGTCTCCCCTCTTCTTCTGATATCTAAATGCCAAGAAGCAATAATACAAAGAATGAATAAATGATTGTGCGACTTCCCACAGAGAAAATTTCACACAAGGAAAACTAGAAACTCTACATACTCTCATTGCCATTTTTCTTCTACGCCACTCTTGGTCTGTTAATATCTCTCGGACCTTTAACTTGAGCTCCTTCTGAAACTCCTCAGATTGCTCATATATGTGTTCATGCTTTCCCTGTGTACATATAAATTGTGTGGCACTACAAGTTAAGAGGAATCTGGACTACAAAAAATATAGTAAACAGAAGATATTGAAGATTTGGATATTTGACAATACAGCGAGTGGTGACAATATAGAAATCAGACGAGAGCAACAAAGAATAAAGACAAAAAGTGGTGATTCACTTGAGGTATCCTTTATCTAAAATATAAACAAACTTTGACAAACATGAGCTAGGAATACTGTAGCTTCGAATAGTTGTTTCTTGGGTAAATAACAGACTATAGGTTTTCTATTTCAATCTAAGTAAAAATTTGGGATTACATTACAACAATGTCCAGTCAGTAAAGGAACAATTAGCTGAATAAGATCATGTCACCTAAGAAAGATATTTTCAAAATGTACTAAAAACATGCATCTAAAAACAACTTAATCTGGCAACTTGAATAAAAATTCTAGCAAAAGATCGCAAGTTGCCAGCAAGACACAGATATTATACTCGCTGAACAAGTAACAACAGTTGGTTCATCCAGAAGAAGCCCGATTGTGAGAAAAGCTAGGGTCCTAAAAGAAAATACGCAGTTTCAAAATCAATATTTGATATCACTGGTTACAATGAAGCCATCAATTATCCAGCTTAACTCTAGATCCAATTACATTGGACAGCTAAAACAGTAAAAAACCGAGGATCTCAGATATAAATGGCTAAGATCTAACCCCCAAAAGAAACAGGTTTCTTACCTCATCAACCAAGGACTTTATTTTAGAGGCTGTATCTTTCTTTAACTGTTTCTTTCTCTTCATCTTAAGCTCTTCTGCATTTCACAGTTGAAGAAAAGAAGGTTGTCACGACTCATGAGACAGAGAAAAATATAAAGGTAAACAACGGATTCTGGTATAATTTCCAGATGAAGAAAAACATGGTCCTATTTTTAATTCATCAAACAGGTAATTTTATGGACCCAAGATAAACTACAAAATCTAACCTTTTGCAGCATGGACTTGGGTGAGAATATAATCTCTTTCTTGGTCGTTTAGCAGTAGTTGTTGCGCTTTTGCCAATGCTGTTCAGTAAATAAGAAACCATAAGAACATGACCAGTTCATCCAGAAAAATCATTTCTTTAAAAGAGGGTAAAGCATTGCTTGTTTAATACAACACCAAGATGGCAGATTCACACAAAAACAACTGAATGTGTAAGTAAATTATGTACAAGAAATTTTAAGAATATTAACCTCCAAAAGCCTCCTGTGCTTGTGGATGCTTGCATTTGTCAGGATGCACCATCAAAGAAATCTGGAAAAGGTTCAGATCAGTCACAAAGTTTCCAGTGTATTCCCAATCAGTGGCACAGTAATTAAAATCACGTAGGCAGGCTTTTTTTTTCCTACTAAGTCGATAAAACCATGAATAAATAACAAATGTCCTCGCCGGGAAAAATGGTCAGAAAAAATACCTTTCTGTACTGCCTTTTAACGTCATCCGTGGAAGAATCGAAAGAGAGGTTAAGATGCTCAAACGGGTTCAGCTTGAAGCATGAGAGAATCCTACAAAAGTTTCAAACTTGAAGATATATAATCATAAGAAACGTGAGAGTAGAACAAGATTAGCATACTGGTGATAGTTGCAACAACAAAGATAAGTAATCACCACCACTATACATGGAAGATATGTGCAAACACACTCACAGATCATATCTCTGTATTGCCCAAAAACATTTAAGACCATGACAAAAGGAGAGAATTTGATCAAATTTTCACAAGATCCACTTTGTAATAAGTACATAGTGAAGGACATAATCCAAAACACACATAGCTAAAATAGTTGTAATCATGTTTATTAAGTTCCCTAAGTTACGATCGTTCTATAGAGATAACCATAAGGAAACAAAATCTCAGAGCATAGAAACCTTAACCCACTATGAATTGCATAAACAAGAGTCAGATCAGGAACATAGTTGGAGGGTACGAGTTAAATTAGGCATAGGAAAAGGGTTTTGAAGGAACCTGACGACTTCGTTATCTCTCTCAACTTCTCCGACTTCGGCGAGGAAGGATTTAAGAATCGCATCGTCGTCTACTTTTACCTCTCCCATGACTCTGTCTTCTTATGATTCTCTTGTCCTCTCTCTTCCTCTTCTTCCAACGACGACAAGAGTAGAGAACGAAGAAGAAACAAAATGTCGATTTTCTCTAATTGAGGTCGGGTTCTTGGGCGGGTTTAATTGTGGGTCTGGATTTGACTCTTTGGGTCGGGCCTTTCGGGCCGAACAAGTGGATTCGGAATTAGGGAGATGGAGAGAATATAATTTACTTGTCAACTAGATTATTTATTTTATCCCATGAGAAAAATATCAATTTTAAGATATTTTGAAGCATTTAGCAGGAAAAAAATCGAAGGGTTAGATTTTTTTTAACAATTTATACTGTTATTTAAAATTTTTAAAAAGCTTGATTAGATTAAAATAAATACTAATGAATAAACAAATATTAAATAGAACCATATTCTCTAATTTATTTATTGTATGTGTATTGATAATTATTATTATTTACGTAAAAGGTCAAAACTGTATTTCTTTCCCAATTATTTGAGGTAAAAATAAAATGTAATAAATGTTATAATAATTTAGGTATTGGGCCGAGGTGGTTATCTAGTCATCAACTAGACCGCGACATGTGATATGTGAACTAACGCTTAGTTGGAGTTGCTCTCGATAAGGTCGACGAAATATTGGGACAGCCAGTACGCAACGAATCTTAGCACCCTTACTCACAAAACATGCTCATACCTTAATCACATATTGTCAAAAACATGCTCACATATTGCAATTTCATATGCATTACAATATGTAATCAAAACCATGCTCCTATTAAGTATCCAACAATTGCACTAAAATGAAACCAATATTGTGTATTTGCATGTGAACCGTTAGATATTGCTTCAAACTCATGACCCGTTCCACTCATGAACTTCTCCTTACAAATTTTAGTTTTCTTTCAATATCCAAAGAGATAACTGATTTTTTTATTTCTTTAATTTTTCTAAAGCTCAAACATGTATCCTTATTATCTTATGTGCTCATACTTTTAACATAATGTTGTGAAATATAATTGAATAACACGGGTTCTCGTCTTTAATTTGCGAACAATAAGGAAACAACAAAATAAGTTGTACAAAACACAACACTCATCATTAAATATTTCTGACTCCAACGAGGTCAAAAACCTCATTAAAAACAATAAATTATACTTCTAATTTTCACTCCTCAACTTTCTTCCCTCTCCTATTCTTGATCCTTTATTTTCTTTTTATAATTTTTCTGTTTACCCACAAACCAAAAAGGTAAATGGCAAAACATATAGAGGAAAAAATAAGGTAGAAAAAACCATGATTCAACAACAATTATTGGGTTAATATGCATATATATTCGAGTAAAACACATACTCGACTACATATACACATATATAGATAATATCATATGCTTAATTATGCTTCTTTGTAAATTACCCCTTTTTGGTCTTAACGTGTTTAAGTGGCAATGCAGAAAGGCTCAACGGACAAGAGAGACCTCC